ACCCCCCCCCCCCCCCACTTCATCTGGATGCAGAAGCGGAGCAGTCATTCATGTCACCAAGGGAGAAATTTCCCCTCAGAGCAGATTATATCCTAACTATCCAGTAGTGGGTTTCTAAAAGCATCTGGCCCTGGAGGATGGACCTGCTCTCACCGTCTAGGAGGGGAGCACGTGCTTCCTTGTTCAAGCCATGCTTAGCTTTGCAGAGGAAGGGAGCTAGGTCAGGCTGAGCACACTGCTGGGCCCAGAGCTAGTCTGCAGGTGTGCACGCGGGGGAGCGGAGGCAGACAAACAGGTGTGACAGATGTGCTGGCATCTGCGGCCATCACCCAGCCATCCAGAGCCACGGGGCATCCTTGTGGGCTGCTCTCCCAGCCCAGGAGCCAGGCTGTAACACTGCTGCCTGCTGCACTGGGCCCTTCCCAGACAAACTGCCCGGAGCAATGGGAGCTGTGCTGCGCTCCTGGGAGGACACCAGCCCTTTAGTGCTCAGGCTGCTCATTCGAAATGCCCAGTGCTCCCAAGAGGGGCTCACACCTGGAAGCCAGTCACAGGAGCCAGGTTTACAAGTCATCCCATGGTGCTGTGAGATCTAGCTTAGGGAACAGCCTCACGGTGGCCCAGGACAGTCAGGCACTGGCTGTCCTGCAGATCTGCTCAGCTTTGATTTTTAGTCTGGTCATGCCCATTCCCCGGGCTGCAGGCATGCCCAGCACCACTGTGATGGGTGCCAGAATCTCCCTGTTTAAATTTCTGCGCAGATCAGTTTTGCTTTCTTCCTGGGTTGCTCAGTGCAGGCCGGAGCCCCAGTATCCACACAGCCAGCAGCAGAGCATGCTTGTCTCCACTGTCTCCCCCAGTCCAGACATGCACAGTGAGCAAGCCTGGCTCTACCCCTTGCTTAATGCTGGGCTTTGCTGCAGAGATGGAAGGGGCCATTGAACACTGGGCTGCGCACACAACCTTCACCCTCGCCAACCCCTAAGCATGTGGTTGCATCCCCAAACGTCTGCAGCACCAGCACTGGGGTCCAGGGAAGCTGGATCTGCATTAGCCCACCTTCACCTCCAACTGAGATCGAGGATATGAGTGTGAGCCTTGGGGCCAAGTTAGCCTCCCTAGCAAACCTCCAGGTCCAGAGCATGTTGGCAGGAAGGCACTTGGCCCTGCCCTCCCTGGAAACATGATAGACAAGCCCTGTAACTCCTGCCATCCCCCTAACATGAGCGAAAGCTGACAGCACCCAACAGGAGAGAGGGTCTCCTGTCTGTCCCTGGCACCCAGGCTTCATTCCCTCTGCTTCTTCATGCAAACCACTATTTCTGCAGGCCTCCCTTCCCTCCTTTGGATGAGGGAGACACTTTATAGCACAGCACTTGGGCTGGGACCGCTCCAGGCTTCCCAGTGGGAGGGCAGCAGAGAGCGCTTCCTGCCCTGTGGGTGGGTGCACGTGGCTCACCTTCTGTTCATCTCTTCCCTTAGTAAAACCAGGACAGGAGGAGCTTTTTGAACTGCTGAGGGAGAAGAAGGACGAATTTAAGAAGGTAAGAGCAAAGAGACCTCCCTTAGCTTTCAAACCAGCACCATTTCTTGGCCCTTGAGACGATGCAGAAACTGGCATCTTGTAGGATGCCAGAAGTGACTGCAAGGAGGGCAGACTGAATCCATGCCCATATGTCCACCATCCCAGTGGGAGCAGGCATAGGGCAATGTTGGGATCTGTCCTCTTGTTGTACAGGCTGGGATCACCAACGTCACGTTGGCCGACAAGCAGCTCGGGGACGACGAGCCCACTGACCGGTTCAGCATGCCTCTGATCACCACCATCGTGTGCCTGGCTGTCACCTTGCTGCTCACGGCTGCCATCTACGGCTGCTGCCACCAACGCAGGTCCCGCAGGAAGGACCAGGTAAGCTGCCCTGGACATCCAGGCAGGGCAGAAAGGAGGGATACCCCAAATAGAGGCTGTGTTATTGCTGCAAGGAGACAGGCCACTGCTGGGACCAGACGCTTCCCCCTCTCCTGCATTGCTCCAAGAGGCCTTTGCAAAATGGGCTGGTACCATCTCTTATGTGCCTCCTGAGAGGTCCCAGTAGGATGACTCTGATGGCAGGGAGAACGGGACAGCCTCTGCCCATTGAGCATAGCCTGGGGCCGCAGCAACAGTAGGAGAAAGGACATGGCTGTTCAGAGCAGGGCGAGCTGCTCATTCAGCCCAAGCAGGTTGTGATGATCAATACAGGATGCAGCCTGAGGCAGGTCAAAACGGTGCTATCCAAAGAGAATTCAGAGGGAAACCGCAACTGCCCCGATTGTCACAACACCTTCTGGTTTGCATCTAAACTGCCCAACCTGACTTTTTAGTGCTTAGCTCATGGGGAAAATGGTCATTACTACAACTCTACTTTGGGGGGTTTTCTAACCCAAAATAGTTTTAGGAAGAAACAAAACTTGTTTTGTTTTTCCATTTAAAAAAAAAA